GATGTGGAACTTGCTGAGAACATAGATTTCTGGGGCTCATGGTAGAAATTCTGATTCAGTAGATTTTATACCACATTTGGAAAGATGATGCTCTGCAGAGAGTCTTTCCCAGTTCCATAGGTGACACAGATCCACAAAAATAATGGAATGGAATTTGTAGAAGTGAAAAGTGACTTTTCATGATTTTACTAGGAAAAATGTAGAACACTTGGACTATGTACTTTGTAATTTCTAAGAAGTATTTAAAAGGGAAAATCAGTAGAAAAGAGAAGGAGTGAGGGCAGAGAGTGGAGAAGTCAGGTGTTCAGAGAAGAGAAGAAAAGATAAGGGAAAATGACGAGGCCAGGAAGAGAATAGAGAAAAACATAAGTTTCCAAAATGGTGCTATTAGAATGTAAACTACTTTAGGTTCTTTAGAGGAAATTGAAATTGAAGTTTTGCTTTAAATTTTTTATGAGCTGATTAATCAGGATTTTGGTGCCTCCCCAGCCTCTGCATTGAACTCAGGACCTTCACAGTGAGTGACATCATGAGCCCTTTTAAAGAATTAATTAATTAATTAATTAATTAATTAATTTGCTAAGTCCCTAAATTGCCCAGATTAGGCTGAAATTTGTGATCCACCTGCCTCAGCCTCCTTGGGGCTGGGTTAACAGGAGTACACTACTATTCCCAGCTAAGGATCCTTGACCTGTACTCCAGGTGACATAGATTCTGTAGAATCTTAGAGGAAATTAAACCTGAAACGCTATTCATTTTTAAAACACACTGTTATTTTGTGTACTTTTAAGAAAAGCTGCTGCTAGTTAACTATGGAACAGTGCATTTTTTTAACCATCTATTATAAGATATTTCATTTTCATTGATGTTAAAATATGGAAAAGATATTGTATCCTGAACTTTGATCATATACAGTATTGAGAAGGCTTTTGTTTTTCTCACCTATTCTTTCTATTTGATGTGTTGCGTTTTCCCAAGGCTATTTTTTCAAACACAGCTCAAATCTCTCCTCCATGAAACCTATCTATATCCTTATAGTCAGATATATTTCACATTTCCTCTGAGCATGTTTCTTATCCCATTTTAATTTTGAAATTTTCCTTAATAGAAAATCAAAACCAAAATAGGAGTTAAGTCCTTCTGCTTTCTCCGCATCATCTGTTAACATTATACCATCTGCCCCAAGCAGTAGGGCTGAACCTTCTTTCTTATTCTTGCTGAACATGTATTTTTTAATCCTTTTTATTGTTCTTAACATTTTTCACCAGCCTCCGCTCATTCTGGGCTAACTTTACCTCCATGACTCTCCTTGTTTCACACCACACTTTTGTATTCATGTGCCTTTTTTTCATTGCCTCCCCAAATCCTTTTAAAATTCTGAATTTACCATAGACCGCCTTAAACACTACATTAGATTCCTTCATTTCCACTTTATTCTATTTCTTGTAAGATTAATTTTTATAGTGTCAGAAACTTTAGAAACTGAAAGTCCTTTTAAAAAAGAAATCTTGTCACAATAGAATGTATGCTATAGCATCATACAGCTTTTTTCCTTAAACTGGATAAAATGAACTTCCATAAAGAATAGCCAATCCCAGCTGGGCGTGGTGGCACACACGTATAATCCCAGCACTCAGGAGTCTGAGGCAGGAGGATCATTTCAAATTTGAGACCAGCCGGGGATACAAAGTAGCTCAAGGCCAGCCTGAACTGCATAGTGAGACCCTGTCTAAAAAGATGAAAAACAAAAACAAAAATAAAAACCCCCAGCCAATCCCAGTATTCCATTTTCTAACCATTAACTCCAAGATGATGGTGCTTTCTCATGGATCTCTCTTCATTTCACTATTTTATGCTTGTGTGTCAGCATTAATTCCAAAGGAGTAGTGACTTTCATTATTTCTTCCACCTGATGAAAGAAAAAATAATTTATATGCTAGTGGCTAATAGTTTGCTTTCCTCAGGAAGAATTTTAGTTGGTTTTCATGATCGTTGGTGATCTCTGTTGTTGTTAGATCACTGCTGTGTTACTTTGTAGAAGATATTAAGAAGGCATTTATTCATTTACCAAATTTATTGAATTGTATTTTATGCAAGGGACCCAAATATAACCTTGAAAAGATGCAGTGATGAATTAGACATGGTCCCTGTTCTTACTAACTTTACAATTCAGTGGAATGGATAAATTAATGTTTTTTATTCAGCAAGGTAGCATCTAATTTATTTCCACAATAAAATTCCTACTCAACTTTTTCCTTACTCAGACTTTTCCACTATATTTCTATCCTTAAATTGTCCATTCATATCAATATAATATTTTCTAAAATACTAAGTTTTTATTTTGAACTATAGCATATACTGTAGATTACCTAACTCATTAATGTACAGCTAAATCTTTATACTGTCAATACTCATGTGCTACTCAGATCATCAGATAGATTGTTACAGCATCCTTGAAGCCCCGCATAAGTTCTTCCCAATTACAGTCACCTTGTCTCCCCGAAAAGTAATCACTAACTTTATCTCCATGGTAAATAGTTTCCTATATAGTTTTGCCCTGGAAGTGTGGTCTTAATACTATAGCTTACTTTAGCCTGTTTTTTTAAAACATTGTATAAATTGAATTAAACAATGTATCATTTGTGTTTGCTGAAGATTTACCTGTTATTTTCTATAATAGTCCTGCAATCCATCTATTGAAATGAATCCATTTATTATTGCTATATCTTATGTGCTACTAGGTTGAAAAGCCTTTTTACACAATGGATAACTTATAGTGTTGATATAATTTAAGCTGTTAGATACGCTTTTCTTATTATAGTGTCAGACTTTACACTTTAACTGGGCATTATCTTTATTTTTTTTTCTTCTTTCAGAATTTCTGCTGTCCCCATAGTACAAGAGTTCTTAGCTACGTAGGCACTGTAATTTGACTAGAGACACACACATGCAAACTAATGCTTTAAGAGAGAAAGAACATATCACAGGCAAATGTTCTTAGGTTTGTCTACAGAAAAAATTTACTGCTTCTTCAAGATACTATTGCCTAAAATAGCTCTGTAGACTATGTGGAAAGTGTAAGCCAGCTTTGCAGTTGTAATCCAGACTGAAATCTCTTAGCAGGAAATTAGTGGTGTGTTAGAAACAGTGTTGTTCTGGGACTTGAGACCTGGGCTTTAGTCCCAAGTCCATCATAGTATTTGTTTGGATTCATTTCCTTATTTAAAATCATCAAGTTGGGCTAGATCTAACCCTAAAGTCCCCTCAAGGTTATATTAACACCAGTGTATCATATGGTTTGAATGTACAGACAAGTTACTCTGAAGTTTCCAGGTCATACTGGTAGGAGGGTAGACAGAAAGGAACTACAGGGTTACGGTAGGATAGAGGCAGAATTTTTTTTTTTTTTAAATTTACCCAGAAAATCTTGCAAGATGCTTTAGGTTGAACTAGACTATTCTTTTCAAAGTTAATTTTAGTTTTACTAGAGTCAAATGCAAACTTAGATTGTATTAAGGTACCAATCATATAGATAGAGGAATACTTGGGTTTTAACCCAAGCTTTACCATTAGGTAACTAAGTCCTGAATGAGTTGGTGTGATTGTTTTGTCTTATTTTGCTTTCTCTATATGTAATAATATGAAATGTAACCATGTAACCTACTATTTGCATTAGTGTTTGTGAAAGCATATTGGGGAGAATAATTTAAAATATTGTATGAATTGAGATCTGGAAATTTTAAAAGCCTAAAACTTAGGTCATTCTTAAAAATTAGGTATATTTAATCTTCAAGGAATAGTAGTGTTTTTTTGTTTGTTGTTTTTCAGAACTACAGACCATTGAAAAAGATGAAGAATTCTTTTTATGAAGCTAACACAACCTTAAACCTATTAAAGTAAATTTAAACCTAATAATGTAGATACACACAGATAAGTATACATACATACGATACACATACATGATACACATACATATGATAAACACACATAAGATACACATACATACAATAAATACATACTAGTTAAAATTAAATATAACATTGAAGCTAGCAGTGTATTAAAAATTATACTGATCAGGAAGGGTTTATCTAAGAATACAAAATGACTATACACTGGGAAATCTGTACACAGTCCATTATATCAACACAGTAGAGGAAAATTTGTGATTAAAACAAATATATACTTTACAAATCATTTGACTAAAATCCAGCAGCTTGATAGGAAAGTGCAGAGGTGTACAACAGTGACACAATATGCAATACTGGCAGTATGTGGGGAAATGGGGGTACATGGTTTTGGGAAAAAGCAGATAGAAATGCACAGGATCCTCTGGATAGTCCCATCTTGGGGAATTATTCATACTCAAAATGCTGTATTAGTGTATAGAGCTAATATATACTGTCATAGTTTATTAGGATTTATATGAAGGATATTTGTTTTATAGCTTATAATAAATAAAATCTATAAACATTAATGACTGTTGATCACTGAAGGAGCAATACTGTGAAATATGGTCATTATGGCTATTGTCCAGGAGAGATGTTTATAACGATATTGTTAACTTAGGATATGTTGTTACAGATTATAGATTATTGTGCAACTGTTACCCTTTTTTATTAAAAAATACCTGTGTATGTTAAATCTGTGCATGAGCTGTGAAAAATGTGTAGAAAAACTAGGTTAAGACAGGATGGGACTGGTGAAGTGGGACACTTACTTTTGTAATTTGTTGCAATGTTTATTATGATGTGCATTTAATATGTTTGCAGCAATCACATTTAAAGAAGCGAAATTGAATAAATTCAAAGAATGAGGATGTGAGTTCTAAAGATACTCAGTTTAATTAACCAGAGACATGGAAAATAGGAAAGTATTATTCCACACTTCTGCAGTAGAGAATATATGACCATTTACATTTCCAACCATTATAACAAATTACTTCTTAAAAGAAATATGTTTTATACTAGAGCTTATAACATTAATGATTTTTTCTTTTATAGCAACTCCGCTCCAATATTCGAGAAATGGAAAAGCTTTGTTTGAAAGTCCGAAAGGATGACTTAATACTTCTGAAGAGAATGATAGATCCTGTTAAAGAAGAAGCATCAGCAGCAACAGCAGAATTTCTCCAGCTGCATTTGGAATCTGTTGAAGAACTTAAAAAACAGTATAATGATGAAGAAACTCTAATACAGCCTTCTTTGACCAGATCCGTGACTGTTGGTGGTAATGTATTATACTAAATAAGTCTTATTCTTGACCTCAATAATGCTCTTAATTAAAGCTCATGTCCTTGTGTAGAGATTGTAGATTATGTCTTCAGGGATCACTTGCTATCCCAATATGCCAAAATTTGGGCCCTGAGTGGGCTGGAAATGTGTACCTTAGGGATAAAATTGCTGCAAGGATTGGAACTTCAGCCTTTAAGTACCTATTTGCCTAGGTGTTGAAAAGAAATTTTAAAATATTTCCTAAGGATAATTTCATCCTTTGTGTGCAACTTACTTCTCACCCTTCTCCAGTATAGGAGTGTCTTTTTTTCGTAAGCATTTTGGTTTTTACAAGTTTGTTGGACCTCTTGCTCAACTCAGTTGTCCATTTTAACGGAAAACATAAAAAATATACAATGGGAATTGTACCTTCAACTTTTGTGAAAGAACTGTCATGTGAAACTTGTCATTATATTGTTTTTGAGGATGTAAGTAATGTTGATCACATTATAATAGTGTCTTTAATCCTGGAAAAAAATTATTGGCTTAATACATACTCGTATTTCAAAGTAGTTGGTCTTTTTTTCTAATCTTTTGGTTATTGATGGAATAACTCATAAGATTTCCTTACCTAAGATGCCTACTAGAAATCTTAAAGCCCAAATTTTTAATTACCAAAAGTTAAATTTTTAACGTATACTGGCCTTATTTTATAATTGCTGCCCTTGTTTTATTTTTTGTTTTCATTTTATTATTTATGTTTTATTCTACCTTATTACATTTTGTATATGATAAGATGACTTTAACCCTAGTGGAAATGGAAGGGTATAATTACAAATTAAATCAAACATTAAGGATGCTACCCTTGCCCAATTTTTCTTCTTCTATTTCAAGGGGCACCCTTGTTGGTTTTAATTTTATATTTTCAGGGCTAATGATTTAGTAATTTGCAGAGGCATTTTTTTAAAAATTAGAAAACAAACATTTAGGCCACCATCCAGAGTTTCTGGATAATCTTGCTTTTATTGTTTCCTTAGTAGCTAACACAATGCTTTACACATAATAAACTATTCATAAATATTTTATAAATATAAATAAATATATTTATAAGGATAATTTTGTAATTTCAGATGTGTTGTAATTACTTCATTGTGGATGATCAACACTTAGCACTCAACCCTTAGTTTAAAGAATATTTGGGATAGGGGCTGGGGATTTAGCTCAGCGGCACAGTGCCTGCCTGGCAAGTGCAAGGTCGTGAGTTCAAAAAAAGAATATTTGGGAATCATGTTTTTCATTAGGTTTTTTTTTTTTTTTTTTTTTTTTTTTTTTTTTTTTTTTCCTTTTTTGTACCAGAAATCCAACTCAGGACTTCATGCCTGCCAGGCAGGCGCTGTGCCACTGAGCCATATCCCTGGCCCTCATTTTTTGTTAGTTTGTAGTTACTGTTTTCATTATTAGGTTTATGTATTGGTGAGGATGAAAGGGTATTTTTAATCATGTAGTGCCAACTGATACTGTCTGTGCATATGCAGAGAAACTGGGTTTTCCAGTTCCATGTGATTAAGGATGTGAGTACCTGTGTACCTGTGTATCAAGGTGTTGTGACAGTTGTGAGGGCAGTAATAACAGCGAAGATAAGCTGGATTTTCTAAAGATTAGCCAGCATCAGTCCCTTTTACTATTTATCTTTGAATTGCCCATCAAAAATAATTCCCTATCAAGTAAAAATTTAAAGTTCTGGGTTTTCTCACAATACGGTATAGCAGTAATCTAATGCTTACTTTAATTTGTATTTCATTATTGTCTTGTTTCTATTTCTACCATACAACTGTTTGTGCTAAAAGAATTTGAGTTTATATATCACCAGAGGAGCTGGGTGATTGTTAGAAGAAGGTAGCTTACCCAGTTTGCTAACAATTAACATTCTCTGTAAGAAGCAGACTGGTGTACAAACTAAGATCAGCAGAATTTGAGTAACTATGTGTATAGAGAAAATGAATAAGATTAGGACAGATCCAGAGGATGAAGAAGAAGAAATAGTGGGTGAAATTCATTTGCAACTTTGTTGATTCTCAAATTCCTCAATTTGCTGGATACCAAATAGGCGAAACACCTAATTACTTGCAACTAGGAGAAAACTACAGCATAATGCTGATTTGATTAAAACAGTCATTCTAGTTATAAAATCATCTAGTTAAGTGATACCTAAAACAGCATGTAGTATTGCAAATTCTGAATAGCCTTCTGATCAGATTGTGCTTTGATTGTGAATTCACTGAGAGCATAAAGAAGTTAAAATTACTGTCTCAACAAGTATGTAAGTTGTTCACAAAGAATGAGTTTCTCTTAGGTTGTCTTAAGTATAGAAAGATTATTAACAAATAATAAGATGGGATAGGAGAAGAATAATGAAAAAATATGAGTAATTTACATAAGACTTTACTAGTGGGGTGGGAATTGGTTTTGCTCCATATGTGGTCATCTTCTAACTGTAGACTCTTCTGTTATTCTACGTGTTTTTATTCTGTGCTCTCCAGCTTTTTCTTATTTTTGCATTAAATACTCATTATAGTAGTGATGGCCTATATCGAAAAATGTGTTTTATTTGCAGAGAAGTGCCTTAAAATACTTTTTTCTTTACAAATCTATTCTAAATAAATTGGTTGGAAACAGCAAAGATTAAGGAGCAATGTTGCCACATTTCCATGAGTAAGATCAAAAATACTTTTTCATTCATAGATAGAAATGACAAATAGGGTGTTCTATGTTTTCTAGAGAATGGAAGTTTATTAAGTTTAGGGGGAAGCTATAATGATTTTGCTGTTTTCTTTTGTCCAGAATCTAAGTGTTCCTAAAGCAAATCTTTGCCAGTGTTACTTGATCTAGGAAAGACATTCCCTTCAGGCTCGGTTGTGTGCCTGCTTTCCTTTTTAGCATGTTGCTTCCCACCAAGAGACACGATGAGCCCACAAATCTAATTTTTATTTAGAAAGGTGGTTCAAACCGTACAGAGTGAATCAGTCCTTCTCTCCACTTTTTGTCTTTCTGTACTTCCCGTCCAGGGGGCGCACTAAGCAGCTTAGTAGGAACAGAATCTTATTTTATGTTAAACAAATATTCACCAGAGAAAAGAATCCAATCTTAAAACTGCTGGGAACTTCAGACTAGTATATTGAATTTGATGAAATATTAGATTTTTATCTTAACTATATACACATACTGAACAGTTTTGTGAAGCATGTAGATGGTTTTGAATTATATAATTCAAGAGATCTATTTTCTTTTTTTTTTTTTGGTTTTGTTTTTTGGTTTTTCTCCGGTACCGGGAACCGAACTCACGACCTTGCGCTTGCAAGAGATCTATTTTCTGCTGGTTTTAACTTTCTTAAAAGTCTTCCTTTGCAGTTAAGTTGTGACATGGAAGTATTTTATTTGTATGGATAAGTTTATGTAGATAACTGGTGAATTAATTTCAATATTTTTAAGCTAACAACTTGAAAAATTTAAGCAGTGCTTTAGAATTACTTCATATTTATAGTGAAACATTTCTAATGTAGTACAGTTTAGTGAAAATCTCATATGTATTGTGTTGTAATTCTTGGTAGAATAATTATTCATGCAGTGTGGTGAATGAAAGAGAGAGGAGGGAGAGAATATTTGCATACATACTGAAGAGAAGGGAAAAGTCTTATATCCAGGTTCTTAACTTATTTCTCACTTCAACTAAAGTAAGTCAACTTTTGTAATGTTTACTTGAATTTGTAGCCAGTCGTAAGGTTTTGAAATCAGTTTTGGAGTTTGAAAAATAGTGATGAATGACACATACACCCAAATACTTGCCATTTATGCTTATAGTTGCTTGCATATGAGTTGAACTGGGATTATTATGTAATATGAAACAATTACAATTTTTTCATTGCATTTTTAAATTTCTGTGAACATGCTAAAGTTCTTGAGCTTTCTTTCCTATGGCTATAATCTGTCTCAATGTTTTGCTTAGCACATCCACAGCAGTGTATAAGAGTTCAAAGTCAAAAGATGACGACTGAAGTTCAAGCTTTCTTAATTGACAGTTATGCTTTGAATTGACCAGTAATGTTGAGAGTTGTAAGTTTACAGCAGTGTTCTCCATGGAAGAGAATAGACTTCTTTGTTCTAAGATTGTATTTGAACTAAGATGCATACGCACTTTGGTTTCAAGTGAGAAGGAAATGACTTAAACGTATTTTATTTTTTACTGAGGGAAATCTTTTATGGTTATTTGAAATGTCAAAGATTTCCCATTCTTTTTTTTTTTTTTTTTTTGTCTTTTTGAGGTAGGGTCTCTCAATGCAGTTCAGGCTGGCCTTGAGCTCACTTTGTAGCCCAGGCTGGTATCGAACTCACAACGATCCTCCTGCCTCAGCCTCCCGAGCTCTGGGATTACAGGCGTGCGCCACCACACCCAGCCCCCTTATTTTTTGATAAGGAACTTATATATGATAATAGCTCCTCATTTTGTTGTATACCATGGCACTGTTCATTTGAATCCTCTTTAACTTTACATAATTTGTAGCTTAGAAAATGTTTACAGTAAGCAGAGGTAGAAAGCCCTGCTTTGCATTTGGTTTCATAATGGCAATAAAATTATCATTATTCATCAGTACATAGGAATATTAAGTGGAATAAAGGTCAGAGAGCAACTGATTTATCCTGGTTGATGCAAAAGTAAAAGTGTCTTTATGGTGATATCTTATGGTGTAGACTAAATAGCTATCTTAAGCATCTGCAAAACTCATTAAGATCTTTTAAAGTATTATATATTTGCCATAATGTTGTCATGGAAAACTTACTCCAAATCTGATGATTTTGTTCTTTTTTTAATTTAAAGAAATACATTAAGTTAAAAATTAAAAGAAAACCTTTAATTCTGATAAACCTGCAAATTACTTTGTAGTCAATTGACTATACCTTTAAACAAGTTTAAACAAGTTTCTCCTTGAGAACTAAAAGTTCGTAAACTTTGAGGGTAAAGTGGTAATGCAGTTTTATAAAAGATCGTTCAATTAATAGGCTTGGCTGAAGAAAAGGAATTCAAAGAAAATATGAATTTAGAATTGTGTAATGACTGACTTTTAGTAGATCAGGTCATGTCGTGATGGCATTCCCTCAGCAGCTCTCCATTGTCTTCCAGATAAAGTCTAAAGTCTTTTACTGGTCAACAAGGCCCACTAAACATTTATAATGCCTTTTACATTTGAAACTGGTTTTCACTGTGTGCTTTGGTAACACCAAACTGCTCAATTTATGTCAGCTGTATTGTTTCTCTTTTGAGGACTTCAGTTGCTGTTAGTTTCTCTATGTAGGATTTACATTCCTCTCCTCTTGCCTAGTATTATCAACTTTTCTAGGAAGCCTTCCCATAAACTACATGCCACATCCAGCGGGATCAGATGCCACTCCCACAAAATACTCTGTATGTATATCTATTTATGTAGCTAGATAGAGATCAGTGTACCCACCTGTTATTTTATGTGTGTCTCTATATATCTGACTCTCCTATTAGTTTTTTGAGACTAAGTTCTCTGTGTTATTCACTTTTTCATCCCAAGTACCAAACACAATAAATAACAAGTGTCAGAAAATGTTACAAGGGAGGTATTTTAAGCTTGCAGTGAAAGGGAAAAAGTAGAACTTCAGGCCTCTACATTTCACTGCTGCTGTCCTAGAGCCAGTGAGGGTAATTTTGCAGTGGACATATTGGAAAGCTTCCCAACTGATTTTTCACTCTCTGATTTTCTCACCTTTCAACTCCATCCTTAATGTATTCTTCACACAATTATGGCTTCTTTTCTAAGTCTAAAATCTGGTGACATCTTTCAGCTTCCTTGTAGTATTCAACTCCTTTTGATAGTTTCATAGTGATCTTATGAGAAAGATACAGCTCTTCAGCATGCCAAGAATAATGTCAGCTTAGATTTCTAGTGTCAACCTTTGCTCTTTCCTTTATCACAATCAGTGCATCAGGTATAGGGAACATCTTTCAGTTCCCAAGCCAGTGCACATATTGTTCTCCCCAACCCACATACTCTCTTTACATCTGCCTGTATCCCCACCCTAGATCACCCACATGATTTCTGTTCACTCTTAGGCTTTTGCCATAGAAATGTCCCTGACCACTGTCCACCCCACAAGGCAAGGTTTAATGCCTCTCTTCTGGGCTCACACAGCATTCCAGACTTAGCCATATCATAGTTCTCATCAGATTATCCTGACCGAACATGACTACTAACATGTCTGTATTACACAATTTAATAAAAGCATTGTTAATACTAGCAGCAGCAATAGTAGCAGATATTTATTAAGCACTTGTACAAGTCAGGTGCTGTGCAAATAACATAAGTAAGGTAATGAGAAAAATAAACCAGAGCTGAAATGCCTTCTCAAGTCAGAGAGCTAGTAAGTAGCCAAACTAGAATTCTAAGCAGGGTCTTTTTGACTAGGCTCATGCTTCTAACAGCTTCACTGTGATGCCTCCTCAGAACTGTTTTTATACTTTACCCAGGGTGTTCCAGTCACCTTAGCACACCAGTTGGCATATAGTATGTAATAAATGTCAATTGAATGAATGAAGGATTGCCAAAATCAGTATGAGGAAATAAGACTTGAAGGTGGATTTTTGAGTTTGAATTAATTTATCATTATAGCAGTATTTAATAAACTGAAGTTAAAGGCTGAAGGCTTTTTAAAACTCAGGAGAGGCAGAAGAAACAGTGGCACCTTGGGTCAGAAGAAGAGTAACATTAAGGAGAAGAGTGACAGTATAGACAAAAAGATTCATATGGCAAGAGAATTCATTTGGTGGCAACCACGTTGTTGTCAGTTTGTTAATTTTCATTGATTAAGAACAAATGACTTCATAAATATTTTATGGCCGTTTGCTGTTATTTCAAATTTAATTGATAAACATTGAATATGGCAGGTGTTTTGTATAATTTATTCATGCTTTGTCTTTTCTAAAAAGCAAACTCAGAATATGTGTCTGTTCATCCAGGAGCAATTCACACTCCTGACACTGAAGCTGATTCTCAGAGTTTGACTCAGATATACGCCTTGCCTGAAATTCCTCGAGATCAAAATGCTGCAGAGTCTTGGGAAACCTTAGAGGCGGTATGTTGAAAATTATTTTCTTTTTGGTAACTGTGAAGCATAAAGATAAGTAACTTCCTCTCTCTCTCTTTTTAAGGATTTAATTGAACTTAGCCAGCTGGTCACTGATTTCTCTCTCCTAGTGAATGTAAGTATAAAACCATTTTTGACCCAGAATTGTTAGATTATTAGAATAGCTTTGCTCAGTCGCTACACTTTCGATTAAAATTTTAATAGAAGTTAAAATTTTTTAAGACTGGTTTTAACCCTGGATAAAAGTCTTAACTGTCCTCAAATTCCAGATCCATTAAGTAAACATTTATCAGCATCTGTTACGTAAAAGGCATTGGGTTAGGTGCTCACCATTGGGGTCTGACAAAGTTGAATATAGAAATAAATGAAGTCTGCTCTCTTCCTTTAAGGATTCTACAGTAGGTGGCTGTAGACTTGGGCCCCCAAAACTGAGCTTTCAGACATGATAACTAAATGCCCAAATAAGGTATGAAGAGAAATGTTATCTTCTCCAAGAAGAGATGTTTAAGGCAGGGAGGCACAGTTTTTGAGGTGGAAATATTTAACCATAGTTTCACAGAGGTTTCATGAGCCTTGAAAATGAGCACATTGTTCACAGAAGGGAGGAGGGAGTACATTTCAAGACAGCTGACCAGAGACGTGCCACAGAGAAGTGTGTGGCCTAAGAGGTGTAAGTACTGTGTACAACTAAAGCACAGCTACCGTGAGCAAAGCAAGGAGGCTAAGGGCCGGATTGTGATGGTACTGAATGCCATACTGAAGAACCTAGCTTTACTTTGTAGGCATTAAGGGGCTAATGTAGGTTTTTGAACAGGTTAAAGTCATGTAATCCAGACTGTCCCTTCAGACAACCACTGTTGTGTAAATAATGATGGGAGGGTAGGAGGTCATGGGTAGGATGACTGGTAGGGCATTAACTGTAGGAATTTAACCTGAAGCAGGGACAACACCAGTAAAGTTAAAGGAGAGCTGAAAAGTATTTCTAGAGTAAACTTAGCAGAAATTGGAGGAAGATAGAGTAAAAGGTAGGACAGTGCAGCTTTGTTCTCATAATCAAGTCCCAGTGATACTGTTACTATACTTTAGGAAGCACACAGTACACATAGTAGTTTTAGTGGGAAAGATAGAGGAGATTTTCTATCAGTATTTTTTAAACTGGTCTAAGTTTTGCTTCCTAAGAAATATGAGAAGGTAAGGGATATGAAAATTATATATATATAGCTTTCCCTGCGACCTGGCTCTAAGTTAGAAGTTCCTAGATCACACAGTCTCAGAATTAGAATGAGAAATGATTCTAGAGGCCACCTAACCTAATCCATCTGTTCTTGGCACAACTTTTAAAATAAATGATTTTTTAGCTTCTTTTTGAATAAGCATAGCACAGGGAATTGATACTTCAACTATTTCATATTTCTTTTGGCGACTCTTTAAGTCTTAGAAGTTCTTCCTTATGTAAAGTCTACGTTATAATAACTTATCTTTTCCCTCTAGAACCACAGACTGAGGGAGGTCATCTTTTTTCTGTGTAAAAGGTTTTCAAAATTTTGAGACTGGTATCATTCTTCCTCACCTTTCATTTCTTAAGAACACTTGATTCTTCTGTGTTCCTTCTAAAACAGGAATTATAGACTTTTCAGTACAGGTACCTTATTCTGCTTAAGTTCTGGTTTGTGGCTATTTTCTTAAAATGTAATGTCTAAAATTGGATACAGTGAACTGTTTGATTTCTGATGCCCCTCCATCAGAAGTAGCAAAATATTGGAAGTCTTTTGATTAGGTTATCTGAGTCACCTATTAATATATTTGCATATAGCAGGAACTGATACACCAGGAATCCCAAAATATGTGTTGCTTGAGTCAAGATTTATTCAGTTATTGCAACTAATAATCCCTGAATCTAATGCAGTTTGTAAAATCTATACATGTATGGTTACACAAATAGATACATTTGCCAAAATGTATGTTTAAAATGTGTTTCAGTGTATATGAGTTATACCTCAATAAAGTTGATGTAAAAAAAACTAACCATGTACAAAGTTCTTCTCACTCAAGACAAATACATTTCCTTTCCAGTGGGGTAAACACGTGAAAGGAAAATTAAAGTTTGAGGCCATTTAACAATTACATGTTTAGTCATGTTATGTAAGCAGGTCTTAATCCCATTCTAAGGAGTATTTGTACAGGAAGACTCTGACTATAGCCATAACTCTATACAAGTGTCCTATTTATAACAGTCTCTGAAGGGACATAGCAGAATGCTGTTGGCAAAAGCTCAAAGGAGAACCCCTGAGTATTCCCAGGGTGACAGATTTCTCACGACCACATGGCCAAGGACACACAGAAGCTCCATTTAGGCAATGTAACCAGAGTGACCACATCCTCTTATTATCATCACATGGACAGGATAGTATCTAGACAAGCTGACCATGCACTGAAGGAGCACTTTCACTGTGTATAGCACTAGGCTAATCTCAGTGAGGACAGATCATAGTGTAAAAAGAACCTACAGGATAGTGGTAATGGTTGCACAGCATTGTGAACATTAATGCCACTGAACTGTACACTTAGAAGTGGCTAAAATGGTAAATTCATGTTAGAAAGCCCTGGAGAAATCAAGGTATGGCTCAATGTAAGTGGTAACAAATTAATATTTACCAGGCATCCTACTCCATTTGGCTTTACACTTTGTGGCTCAAATTCTTTTGTTTGTATGTTTGTTGGGTTTTTGTTTTTTTGTAAGCAGTCTTACTTCTAGTGAAGGGGAATTAAAGAACTCTGGTTCAATAGCTTGTCACCTTTTCTGCTGATCCTGTTTTGATTTCTAACTTTTGCCTTACTCTCTATGGCTTTTGAAATCCAGTTTTATTTTGCGTACATAGAAACGGGGCTGCACTCGATTAGATCCTAGTCCTCCACTATTACCTATATGACTTTCAGAAAGTTGTTTGATGAGCCTTGTATAAAAGTAACGAGAGGACTAAACAGGACACTACCTTTGACATCCCATCTTCTTCCCTTCCACTGACTGCAACTGCAGCCCTGCATTTGTCCTTCCCTAGCTTCCCTCTTATGCTTATATAAAATGGCTTTGGTCACCAACATTACCTGTGGATATTTTAGTGTTGGAGTTCTATGAGTTCATTTCCCACTGCTGAATCCCCTGATGTCAGCAATCCGCTTCTCCATTTATTTCCTGATTTAGGCTAATGTAATCCTGTACTCTGCCTGTATAGCATAGTGTTTGTAGGCTTATTTCTGGGCTTTTCTGTATGTATGATTGCATGTGATTAAAGCTGGAATTTAGAGAAGAATAAAGAAAAATACCTGCAGTTTTGGCACTGTCTCCCTAAAGAATCCCATAGCTTTATAAGCACACTAATAAAATTACTTAACTAACTCTCCATGTTAGAGCATTACTGTTGATGTAAATGGATTCAGGGTTGAATTTGTTGAATGTCTTATTATTTGATATAGAGGCCACTGGGCCTACAAGTGCCCACAACAAGCATTTAATGAAAAAATGATTCCTCCTTAGTTTTGAACTCATGTGTCCAAATTGCATTCTCCTGGGTAAGTATTAACTTGATGAATCACATTTTCTCCAGAATCCTATGTGCTCCTATAACTGCTTATCAAGATTTGGTTATTTGCAGGACAATGGAGGATCTAATTCAGTGTTCCTTAAAAAAAAATCTATAGATATATTCTTTGAATGTCGAGAATTTTTCCCCTTTAAAAAGGATTTATACATCAGTTTGAGAAAAAAATGCAGTGTCTCTCATAAATGATGTACCTTATTATTAAAGGGATGTCGAGAATACTTACAAGTACCAAAGGATAAAATGCCAGCCAGGGGAAGAGGCTATGAATATTGTCAAATGTGGGAGACTCAGGCAGATGAAGACAAGCAAATCAGAAGTGAAAAGAGGGGCTGGGGATTTAGCTCAGCGGCACAGCACCTGCCTAGCAATTGCAAGGTCGTGAGTTCAATTCCTGGTACCGAAAGAAAAACAAAAACACAAAAAGAAATGAAAAGAAATTCGGTAGGTACTTCTGAGCCACCATTGTCACTTGGAGCCTGGCTTCATAGACTGGGCTAGGGTTATACAGGTATGCTTTGGCGCTGCATGAAGAGCCGAGGACACGGGACAAGTGGTGGCCAGTTTCAGCTTTGAATGGAATTTATTTGGGGTTTGTGCTAGATTGTGCTAGATGCCAAACTAAATTGACAGCTCTCTGATACCAGTTTAATACCTACCTGTAGTCATTTTGGATGTCACTGAATCTTATTCATGAAGCAGAATTTGAAGATATGGGTAGTTTAAGGATTCAGACCAAACAAGGTAAGAGAAAGGTGGATCTGTACAATTGAGGGATGACTGTTGAGCCCAGAGGAGAGGCTCTCTGCCCTCTGCCTTCCTCCCACCCCCTGCATTTAAGCGGGCTTCCTGATGTCAGTGAGTGAGAACTTGCAGATGTCAGGTCTTCCGCGGACTAAGCGGGGCTTCATCAAGTGTAATGATTACAGTGATGGAGGCTGCTATGGGTAAAATAATCAGCAGTCCCAGGATTGTTTTATTCTTGTAGTCTTTTCTCTGATTATTCCAAGTATTTTGTTAAAATTGTTTCTAAAGGGGCTGGGGATTTAGCTCAGCAGCATAGCACCTGCCTGGCAAACGCGAGGTCATAAGTTCAATTCCTGGTACCAGAAAAGAAACAAAACAAAAATTGTAAAAATTTTCACTTCAAAAATCTTATGTTTTAATACTCAAACTTTTTAAGAATCAGCATTAGAAAATGTTTCCTTGAGGCTCTGAGAGCACATAGTGTGGAGATAGCAGCAGTTGGACTCCCCTCTGGCTGGGACTATGCTGGGCTAAAAGGTGGGGGTCACAGACTATTTTTCCTCTACCCTAACTCACTGAGATATGAAGATTGGTGATAAAATTTCACTCCTGTGATTTATCTGCTAACATAGACTGTCTCAGACCGAACTGTAAAAGTGTTAGGGTGTCCCAAATGGAAACAATGGTAGATTGTCAATCCAGACAAGTTGGGTATTACTAGTGCTGGCTGACACTTTTACTTCTGTGGGTCAGAAAAGGAAAGCTGACTTGGGCTGGGGATGTAGCTCAGCGGCACAGCACCTGCCTAGCAAGCACAAGGTCCTGAGTTCAATTCCCCAGTACCAGAAAAAGAAAAAAATAAATAAAAAGAAAGCTGACCTAAAAAATTTCTACTGAGAAAAATTAAAATTCAGTGAGTGAATGCTAGGAGAAATTTAAAGTTCGAGTGTCATAGAATTTTCAAGCACCTTAGAAAAAAGCTTAATATATTTTTATATAGAAACATGAGAGTTAACACATTCTTGGGAAGATCAGGGTGAGTTTTCCATTTCCCTCCTCATACTTCGCAGATATCTTGTTTTATTCTCTTTCAACTCTGTGCAGTATAAATTTCATGATCCTCGGTTGACAGGTGAGAGTAATGACTTTGAGAGACCTGAGTACTTTGTCCCAGGGCACGTAGTGGCACTGCTGGGGTTTAAACCAAATTGTTGTCCCTCAGTCCTACCGTATATTTCTAAAATAATGAGAATCGGCCAATTAGCATTACTGGAGAACTTAGTAGAAACACAAATTCTCAGGCTCTGCTGAATCAGAAGTTTTGGGGTGGGGCCCAGCAGGCCCTGTTTTAAGAAGCCCTGCAGGTGATTCTGGTGTTCACTTAATCTGAGAACAGTTGTTAGACTGGGCTCTGATAGAGATGTTTAAAGAAAACTGAAAAAGGGCTTTATAAGGGAGTCTATTAAAGATGTCAAGATAGTGGTGGAGAATCAGGCAATGGAGGGATCCCACAAAAGGCCTGACAGTTTAAAGGCGTGCATTGAGAAGGGAAGGAATATCAATAATGCTAATAGGAAGAAACCACGAGAAAAAAATCAGCTGTGTTGTTTGAGTTGCATGTAGTACTCAAATGTTGATTGGAGTTAGAAGAGTGTTATTTATGTCTGCCTAAGTATAAATGAATAGGTCAGTTATATAAGGGCAATCAAATACTTCAGGATTCAGGTTAAATTACTTTCCACTTTGAAGGTGGCATTTATCTGGAACGAAAGGAGATTCTCCTTTTTTTCTACAAATTAAGACAAAGCACACACCTGTTGTGATGGGGTTACTGGGTTTATACATGTGTGAGAGTTTCTCATACTACTACACCATTAAAATGAGTAGATATTATTGTATATAAATTCTAAGTAAGGTGGGTTTTAAAATAGAAATGTGTCCCTGTGGCAAGGAATGTGTTCTTGAGACAGAGTGAGTTTCAGTTCAGTAACCACTCTCCAGAAACCTTGTAGTGAGGTTCCAGTGGTCAGGGAGGAAAATTGCACTCCTTCCCTTAACATTCCTCCCACCCACAGAGTCCATGCGGCACGACTGCTGTTGTGTCAGCACAGGTGTTGCTATTTTACATGCTGTGTTTTATTAATATGGTTGATCTGAAATATTTTAACTTGCCATGACTTTAGAATGTGTATAGTATAAAGGTGTAAAACGCAAGACAGTAAAGTCATTCACTGCTCACTGGTGCATATCACAAATGAGAGATTGCATGATCAATCAGACCATATTATAATCTTTTTACTAAAACATGACGATTTATGCTTATTGGATCAAGGGCATTTTACTTCTGAGGTAAATATGCCTGCTTTAAACAGAATCTTCTAAGAAAATAAGTGGAGGAGGTTTTAGGGGCGTTGATTTTGTTTTTGTTATTTTCCATCAAATCCAACATGACACATAAATGCTTATTTGGATTTTTTTTTCCCGTAAAGTAGATTCATTTGGAGAATAATATGTTTGTGTGTTTGAATGAATTTCGGTGTGAGGTGATTTTTGCTGTAAAGGTACCACCCTTTTATTACCTAATAATTAAGTCCTCTTTTTTTATGAAAGTGAATTTGTACTTTCGACGTGGTTTATCAGATGCTATTAATGAACCGCTATTAAGACTGCAAGGCTGCAGTACCCTGGGCCCTGATTACAGGAATTAAAATAGTGTGTGTTGGCTTCCTGCTGCCGCCCAGCGGGAGCGCTCACTCATAATTCCTTTGCATCCAGTCGCAGCAGGAGAAGATTGACAGCATTGCAGACCATGTCAACACTGCTGCTGTGAATGTTGAAGAGGGAACCAAAAACTTGGGGAAGGTAAGATTCTGCTCCTGCTGACAAATCGATGGTACTCAGGCTCCCAGGAATCTCTAGTATTAACCCAATTGATCTGCTCTCTTCAGTGTTGAGGGAACTAGCAATTAAGGAAATCGGGAAGAAATGACACGTAGGTAGGGCAGGAAATCAATGGTGGTAATACTGTACTTTAAGATGCACTGTAGCATGAGAAGAAAATGTTTCAAAGAGAATAAACTGTAGGCTTACTGTAAGGCATTTGATGTAACAAGGGAGTGTCTAAGAGATCCACGGAGAGGAGTGAAAGAGGGGCACAGGAATCCATTCAGGGCAACCGTGTAAAAACGTGACAGTCCGTCTGGAGTGGAGCCATCCATTTCCATCCAGTGTGCGTCTTATCCCTAAGAGTGTAGCATGGAAAAATCTGTGCACCAAAGCATAAAAGCTTTGGTGGGAGCGAGAATCTGTGGCTGCTGAAACCGTTCAGATAAGCCAACTAGATAGTGAGTGGATTGATTGTTTGGCAAGTAAAATCAATTGTAGCCATCACTCTTTGTAGTTCATTTCTCCTAAGTTCTGCGATCTGGAGCAATCATGGTACCTGTGGAATACTCCCCACCCGCAAGTACAGTCTGTGAGGTTAATTATGTACCAGGAGTTAAAGAGGCATTGCCAGGAGTAATGAGAGGAAAATGCACATCACCACAGGCAGATATTCTCAACTCAGTTTCTAAATTGAATTTTTTTCTTTCCTACAGGCTGCAAAATACAAGCTGGCAGCTCTGCCTGTGGCAGGTGCACTCATCGGAGGAATGGTGGGGGGTCCGATTGGCCTCCTTGCAGGCTTCAAAGTGGCAGGAATTGCAGCTGCACTTGGTGGTGGGGTGTTAGGCTTCACAGGTGGAAAATTGATACAAAGAAGGAAACAGAAAATGATGGAGAAGCTCACTTCCAGCTGTCCAGATCTTCCCAGCCAAACTGACAAAAAAAGCAGTTAAAAACCAGACTCTGGTATTTCTGGCACCAACATATTGAGCCTAATAAGCACCTTGCTGCTGTTGGACACTCAGTCAGCTTTTGTAACACTACGTATCAGGACAGTGGCTCTGGATGCCCAAATGTGACTGAACCACGATAACAGATGTATTTTCTTTTGCGGGGTGTTGATGGAGATTTTAGGGATCGAGGCGCTTAGGGTGTGTAATGTCTTGTCAGGTCAAATTTAAAGACTGCCAAGGAGCAAAATTCTGCCTGCAAATGTGAAAACTGAATTTAAAACTTGGTTAAGGACTTAGGATACGTCCTGGAATTGGAGACCTTAGGACTAAGTGTATTTGTACATTGCTCAGGCATGTTAGTGGCGAGAAGGACAGGAGTTCAGAAGCCTTTCTGTCAGATAGGGAACTCGGCCCAACTAGAGGCACAGGTGAACTTGAAAATGGTCTCTGTTTGGTGAACCTGACTGCAGGGTGAGCCAGGTTACATTATTTTTAGGTGAGAGGAAGTAACAGTAGAAGAAAATGGAAAGAGGCCTGGTTTCTCTTTCTCTTGCTTTCCCTCCTTTGTAACTTCGCAAAGCTTTCCAGGTTGCGGGGCGAATTCTACTCGTGTGTAATGAGCACTTTCTCATCGTCCACCTTTCAGTACTGTTTCCCATCTGTTTCCCTTCCTGTGACCTTCAAGTTTAAAAAGACGGAAACTTCCAATATTTCCAACACGGTTAGAGTTTGGTCTAAGAATACGGAGGCCCTGAAATCACGAGGCCATATCCTGGGGTATTCTCTGGATATGAGCGGCTGATGGACCCCACTACACCAGGGGTTCTGATCCTGTCTTCTTTTCAACCTGCCTTTGGGGGAGCAAAGAACTAACTTTCTACCTCACTGCTGCGACTGCTGTCCCTTCCGCAGGCTTCTCCATCTCCTGTACTTTCCACAGTTGCCGCTCTTCCCAAGAATGCCATTCATGCTTAACTTGCTTCGCCTTCTTCGGGGCTGACAGAGCTGGTCCCGAGACTCGGCCTCAAAGAAGGGTTTGCGGTGCTAATGCCGACACTCGACACTGACGTCAAGTGCGTGCAGCCCAGCTCCGTGTCCATCTCAGACAGCCACGAGGGTTTACATTTTAAATACAAAGACGAGAGGCAGCCACACTCTGTACCCCCGACTCACTTGAAACGGGCAGGAACCGCCGTTTTGCCTTACTCTTTTCTGAGGACAGGAGTGGGCACCTGCGCCTCAGAAGGTGTGAGCAGTCGCCGGGCTGAGCTTACCAGGAGGTTGAAGGCTTATCACTTAGCTTCTCTTGCTGAGGTTGCTTTAAATAACTTTGCTACCTGTCATTTCTGTGTCTAAAGAGATCTCTCTCATATTTTTGAGTTTCATCCATGAATGCCAGGTGAGACAAAGCACCGTTTCTCACTACTATTAAATAACGGCAAGTAGCAACTATTTTCTGCTTACTTACATCTTTAATACACAAAGAAAAACAAAGTATGGGTCCGATTGTGATCCAGTGTGTGATGGTGCACTCCTGTAAGGTTGGGGTAATTCCTTTTTTTTTTTTCCATTCTGGGGACTGAACCCAGGGCCTTCACACTGAGCTACATGCTCAGTCACTGTTTTACATTTTGAGACAGGGTCTTGCTAAATCACTAAGTTGCCAGGGCTGGGCTCAAACTCGTGATCCTTCTGTGTCAGCTTCCCAGAGTGCTGGGGTTACAAGTGTGGCCGCCATGCCCAGCTTGCTACCCACTTTTTCCTGTACTGTCATCCTTGCTGTCCCTTTAACAAGCTCTTCAAACCGAGTGAGGATCAGAGCTCACCCAGTGTTTATTTAAAACCAGACTCTTATACCTCAGATGCAGGGATGATTCTGATACAGCTCATCCAAGCCAGTTGGCTGAAATTATAAACTTAAGATACAGTTATCTCAGTATTCAGTTCTGTCACTTAATTTTGTAGTTCCAGTATTGTGCCCTGCTTCATTGCTGCATAATACTCCACTCTGCCAATCCCAAATTGGTCATGCTTTCAACATAACATCTTAGAAACATACAGAAGCTTATAAGGACCTAAAGGAGAGAGGAAGCCTAGCCTTGTATTTGAAGCACACATTCTGTTTTGGGATTTCTTATTTTTACTGAGCTGTGTGGGACCCAGTTGTATGTACACTGTCTTCAACTTTTACTGCTCTTCAGGATTGGAGGCTTATGCTAGCAGTCTTCATGCTTCTGCAATCTACAGCCCTTTGAAAATGTTTTATAAAGTTACTTAGAAATTGTATCTCATTTCCCCTAATAACCAGCTTTTTGTAGAAATTGCTAACATGTTTAATCAACTCTAAAGGAAATATCTATAAACTGTAAACTGCTTATCTATATAAATTAGTATGACACAGAAACCAGTGTGAAAGCTGAATTTAATGCCCTACAGTGTCAGATTAAATTTATCTTCTTCATGGCTCATGTCTTAGTTTTACTGCAATAAGTTAAAAAGGAACATTTTGATTAAGGTTTTAATATTTATAGGAGTTTATTTGGATAAAGGCAGCACTTCTAAGGACTTTTTTGATACCATGATCTGAAATTTTCTTTATAGAGCAGAGACAGTTTTTGATGAAATCCATAGTGAGAAGTGCATTTATATGAAGACAGCATATGCATAATGAAACAGTATTTATACTACCCCGTGCAGTGCATTTCCGTGCTTTTACTGTTTATAAAATATGTGATTGTAACCCACCACATTGATTTGTCTATACATGGATTGCAGCCCTCACTTTGCAGAAAACACCCTTACAGCAGAGCTGATATTTAGTGAATTCACTGCCAGTTAGGGCAGCTGAGCCTCAGAGGAGGCTAATAATTTGTAGAGGGTTATTCATTTGCAAAGGGGAGAAGCCAGGGTATAACTGGTTTGTTGAACTACAAAAACTGTTCAATTTCTGCTGTACTATTCTGCCTCTCTCTGCAGAACTGAGGTGAGTCCTTGGCTCTGCTTCACCGGCCCCACATCCATACTCTTGAGGCCAGCTTTTAACTTTGCTTTCTGCTTCTTGATCTTCTAGTTCCTCACCAGGTGTCTAGCAGCCTCATGCCTTTTAATGGTGGCTGTTACAGAAGTGCGTAGTGTTGGATTTGATCCTTAAATTAAGGTGTTTTCCCAGCCAACCTACAAATTATTTTATTCCTAGGTTATAACCATTGTTTAAACCACAGTGCTTTTTATACTATTTAATGAACTTTTAATGCTTGTTAAAGCAAATCTATGATAACTCACAGAATCAAAATGATTATTGTCTTTTAAAATGACCCCCCTTGGGGAAACCATGTAGTGACTGTAGGGATGGGCTAAGGACAGATGAGGTTACACTGAAACAGGCTATCAAGGGAAAGCCCTCAGGTCCAAAAACCTGCTACTGTCTGTTAATGTTTTCCTCCTTTTATTTTTAAAATAAAGTAAAATAAAATAATAAGTAAAAAAAAAAACAAAAAAAACCCCTGCTACCCACCCTTAAATGCTGTAAGCTGTTTGTACAGGAGAAAGGACTACGTGCTGGTAATATTATTCACCGGAAGTTGAAGAAACCTGTAATATAAATATACAGCATTCAATATTTTCCTCCTGTGAAAGTGCAGGAACCAAACCATGCTTTGTGTTCACTTCTAACATGCAAGGCGATTCCTTGGTGCCGCAGGGTATCTTTGGGAGGGTGGATGGAGAAAAGCCGGGGAAAGGTTCTCCTGTGACACGGGACGTTGTCATCATAAAGGAGAATGTGGCTGTGGCCCTTGGGTGCTTGTGAATGCAGGTGTGTTTTCAGTAGTCAGAGGGGCACCGCTGCTCTCTCCTGTCTAAATATCAGGCTTTCAAATTCTGTTTGGTTTTTATGAACACCAGGTTGCTAGCAGGTGGTTCTCACTGTTAGTATTAATTTTACACCCTTCCATAGAGAAACTTCTTGACTATTATAAACAATGGTAAAAGTACATCTGGCTATCATCAAATAAATTAGTTTATTGTGGCAAACAATGTCTTTGTGCAATATTAACAAAACAAATTGAAATAAAAATGTAAAAGCTTTTAAAAGCAAGTGATGTGCTCCAGGTCACAAGGCGAGTTTGCACAAGAGCTAGACTTACAGCCATAGTATGGCCTCGGAGAAAAAAATTCCTCAACATAACCTGTTTTTGTTATGACCTATCAAGTTGCCTGGTGAGGCTTGTGGTCTTTTAGTCCAACTTCAATATTGAAACAGGAAAGAAATCTTTTCCCTTGAGGAAATTGCAATTTCTTCACCTTCAAAATAGTGCCAACTCTGCCACCTACACATCTGAGAGCTAAGCCGGCTCTTCTTCAGCAGTTTAAGTACAGTACTCTGGTCTTAAATACACCATTGTCCAGCCCCTGTGAATAATTTCACTAGTATACAAAGACATTCAGTAGTATTTTTTTAATATACTTTGCAAGTGTTTGAGATTTCTTTAAGATTAATGACTAAGATGTCAACTTGGATTTCGGTAATTAAATCCCCTAGAGATATTTTCCATTTTATTGTTGAACCTTTGGTGTTCCCGAAGTTCAAGGCCCAATGGTGAGAATTGGTTTGTCATTTATGTTGCTCAGTGGTGCTTGAATAAGGAAACATGCAATAAATTCATTCAACAAACATTTGAGTTTCTGCTGTGCGTTGTTTGCCCATCATAGACTTGCAGAATGAATCTACCCTACTAGGCTGTTGTTAGCTACAGCAAGGCAATCAAAGTACAGTAAATACCCTAAAAGAAGAATGAACAAAGACCATAATGAATGAAGGGACTGCCTGCTTAAAAGTGGGAGGCTCATGGGATGTGTGGTTTTCAAGTATTTAGCCTGAGAATATGCCTAGTTGAAGAAGGGTTATGGGCTCCAGGTGGCAGAGAAACTGCATGTCCAAAACTGCCTGGTGAAAACCAAGGAATTAAAAGTAGCTGGAGATGAAGCTGGCTAGAAGGAAATACCCAAGAGACCAGGGTGTTTAAAATTTAGTAATTCTTTGTTTATAGGAATTGATGCTTTGCTCGTGTCATGTAAGACTTAAAATCTTCATTTTGCCTTTGTTGCCTAGGAAAGTAATAAACCTCACATATGCTGGAGCTCTTGGTTTATTTGCCCTCCTTTTCCACCTATAAGAAATGACATTTTCTTGCCTCCCTGTGAGTTTCTGTTAAATACTGAACACCCACTTTCTGCTAGTCTGTCTATATTTATTAGAAACCCACTGAGAAGATAGTCATGAAATTTATCTTTTAGTGTCCAAGGCCTTTACAGTAGTTTCCCACCTTTACACGAGTATTTCTTGACCATAGAATTCAGTGGCTCCCATTTCACCAGTGGTTAATTATGCAGAGGTGAAACTCTTGCTTTGGTGATGGGGTGTTCTCCAACTAAACTTCTTTCAGACCAGAGATCATACCATCTGCTTCTTGCAGTATTTCTTGGTGTGAAATACAGCGATGGGAAGGGAAAAAGAAACCATACCCCTCAGTGATTCTCAAATGATGACATCATAGCATGCAGTTTCTGTCCTCTTTTAGAGGGATTTACTAAACATGGAATTGCTTTCCAAAACACAGAAAATCCTTGCTTAGTACCTACTTCTATATATTAACAGGAATCAAAGAAGAAACAGAAGAAACCTGGAAAATGTTTTTAGGACTCACGAGTCATTGAATTGAAAAACATCACAATTTGGAGGTGAATACAGTTCACTTATTCAAATTAAAGTCAGGACTTGGAAGAGTTACAAATCTCTAGCCTGGTGTACACATTAAGACTTCATTCTGGACAAAATTCTTAGGATCCCCCAAAGCCAACTGACATAGGATTGACTGAAGGTGAGTGGACTCACCTTAACATCTGCAAATGACAAAATCACTAAATAACTAAAATCTAACAGAGTCCATTCCAGTTATGGTGATAATTTCTTTTCCTTTATTTCATTTGTTCACGTTTTTTT